TAACAAGGCAAGAGCAGGAGCAGAGGGTCCTGGGTGGCTGTTAAGCCAACCCAAACCTTAGGAGTTGATGTGGGGAGAAGAGGTGCAAGAAGGTCAAATTCTGGATATTTGCTGAAGAGAATTCACTGGTGATTGGAAGTAGAGTATAGGAGAATATAAGGTTAGTGTCTCTGCAATTGGAATAAGTAAGACTTCAGGGGGAACTGATTTGATACAATTTGGTTTTAAAATATAATAGTGATACCCTTGTGGGAGGTCACTGGAAAGGATTATACATCTTGGCAGTAGGATCAGATTGGAATCTCCTATGAAAGTGCTGATGAAGGTTGATAGAAGTTCTCATAGTGACCATGGCAGTAAGAATGGGAAGAAGGAGCTTGAATGTATACATTGTTGATGTATTTTGGTGAAAGGTATAGAAAAGAGATGATCTAAAATTAGAAACGTCAGGGTTTCACAACTGGCCATGAGGACCACTTCTCAGATGTGGTTTAAAAGGTCAGTATCTTCCCAACATGTCAAATATGAAGAATCTAAATTCTTGCCTATTTGTAGCTGCTTTCCTTTACCCTCATTCATTTTTCCTGTGGAGGTTACCTTCAGAATGGGACATTCTTTGCAACTTTAAAAAATTCCTTGTCACCTCAGAAAATGAATAAACCAGGCTTTCAAGTTCATGTTGTTCAGTATCTTAAAATTTCTGTGGAAAATCCCATATCATGAGTGAGCACTGGCAATAACCTCTTAACAAAACCAGCATAGACCCCTCATCTTCATGTTCTACCCTCCCAATTTATGCATCGCTAGCACCCTGATCTTTTTTACACTTTCCATTTTATGATTCCATTACTCAGAAAACTGCAGTGGTTCCCAGCTCTACCTGAGATGACAGTCACCTCAACTTACAGTGACGACCTTACATTTGGAACTAAGCCCAACTCCAAACTTTATTTCCTGAAGTTCTCTGAAACTTATTGCCTTATGCATGGGAGCCCTGCCAACTCTCTGAGACACCGCTTGATACCACCTCTTTTACGTTTTCCCTGCCTACTGTAAAATTCAATTTGCAGATTAATCTTCCTAAAAATCAACTCCAATCAAGCCATTTCTTTCCTCTGAAACAAATTTTTACACTCTATTGCCTGGTGATATAATTACGAACTCCTCCCTTGGCAGCTCCATCTCGCAGACTCAGTAGTTCTGACTTATTTTACTCATTTTACGCAGTTCACAGAACAATACTCTCATATTAGTATGTCTCCTGGTGCCTACAGTGATCTTCAAGGAATGGAGAAGATGAGCTTGGGGGCAAATAGCTGGGTCTCCAAATAGGATATTTGTAACATGCATGTAACTAACACCTCTGTGGGGCTGGCTATGAGCCAGGTAATTTTTGCACATTTTAAATTATGAACTTATTGAATGCACCCAACCATTTTATGAAATAGGCACTCTTATTGTTCCATTTTACAGATGAAGTAGTGGAGGCACATGGAAGGTAAGCATTTCTGTAGACCACTTGATTAATAAGTGCTTAGGATTCATCAATTGGGTCTAAGTCTGTGCTTTTATTTATATTTATTTATTATGGTACAGGATATTGAACTGAAAGTTACTTTCTCAGTGAGCTATGGCCCCAGTCCTTTTTATTTTTTATTGCGAGACAGTATCTCACCAAGTTGCTTAGGACTACTAAGTTGCTGAGCCTGGTATTGAACCTGTGATCCTCCTGCTTCACCCTCCTGAATTGTTGGGATTACCAGCATGCACCACCATGCTTGGCCTGGAGCTTATGCCCTCACTGGCTCTAGAATGCTACCTTTCTCTTTGGATTTCTCCCACTTACAATGTACAAACCCCTCCCCTAGACTGGAGGCTGAGAATTGTTGAGCAAAATCATTTTTCAACATGTTTCAAATAAGAATTCCTTTTATTTTGAAGGTGGCTTTGGTCAACCACCCTCCAGTAACTATTGCCTGTCTGACCTCCTTGATCATCTTTCTCAGATACCAGTCACACTTTACTTACCATGGATATCTTCCTTGTTCTCAAACTACATGATGTGTTGATAGATAGATAGATAGATAGATAGATAGATAGATAGATAGATAGATAGATAGAAGATAGATAGATAGATAGATAGATCTCAAACTAAAATTGCCTGCCTGAGTGGTCAGGTCACTCAAGCTGAGACCCCATAACATGGTCTACTCAGGGGGTAGCCACACATAAAACATTAACCTTAAAAGAATCAGCTTTGAGACTGACAGGCTCTCACAATCTTGAAAAAAAAAAAAGGGGAAAGATTGGTAAATATTAGCCAGAGAAAGTAATTCCATTGCCCTGGGATTCTGCCAAAGGTAATCTTTAAAAAGTCTGAAATCAAATTCAGAAGAAACAATGTTCTCACTAAATTTCAGTGTTCCTCAGTGAACAACCTAAAGCCATTCCCTAACTTTCCTCCCCCCCCCCCCCCCCCCCCCACCCCCCCCACCCCAGATGAGAACATGACTCCAGGGTAAGACTGTGCCTGGACACAGCCAAGCTGAGGCTGCAGGTGGGAAATGCAGTGGCCTCAGGCTGGTAGCAGGCCACCTCTGAAGCAAACACCTCTACCATTTTTATTCACCTTCTTGCTCTCTGAAGCACTCTTCCTCTAAGAAGTGGTGTGTGTGTGTTGGAAGGGGGAATTAGAAAACACGGACTTTATTACCTACATACTCGTATGATTACAAGATTGGTGTGACTGCACCACGTGCAACCAGAGGAATGAGAAATTGTGCTCCATTTGTGTACAATGTGTCAAAATGCATTCTACTGTCATGTATAACTAATTAGAACAAGTTTCTCGTTGCTGTTCTTTTGTTATAACTGAAATATGTGTGCTGGAAGAATGAATATAAAGTAATTGATTTGAAATACAAAAAGCATTAAGGCCTGGAAATATAGAAACATGAGAAATGACTATGAATTAAATCTTTGAAATGATTTTTAGTTCTTTCTTTGCTTCATACAAGTTACCTTAGCAAAATATTTTAATAAAACTTTGTAAAACAACAACAAAAAGAAGCCAGGGACTTGGCTGGGTCAACAATAGTCAAAATGCTATGAATAGTTATCAGAAAGCATTATAAATTTTTGAGAGAGAGAGAGAGAATTTTAATATTTATTTTTTAGTTTTCGGCGGACACAACATCTTTGTTTTGCATGTGGTGCTGAGGATCGAACCCCGGGCCGCACGCATGCCAGGCGAGCGTGCTACCGCTTGAGCCACATCCCCAGCCCCATTATAAATTTATATTAACTTAAATTCTATCTTTTCTTCCCCTTCATTCCTTATTACCTTCTGATTTTTCTTCCTCCAATTTCTCTTTGCTTTCTCTTTGCTCATAGTCTCCTTTGAACACTGTTTCTGCCATCAAATCTTTTAAATATATCCTGTTAAATATTTTTAACTAAATGTAATTTAAAAAAGGAAGTCAGTCAGTCTGAATCAATGACAAGCTGGAGAAATAAGCAATTTTTAAGGAAATGAAGTGTTATTACTCTTAGGGATGTACTAAACTATTGAAAGCAGTAACTAGCTAAGTCACTTAGGAAATGGATGGCTGCCTTACCTCCCATAGAAGCACATCTTGTAAATTTACTCCTTTAACCTAAATATGAGTTTCTTTTTTTTTTTTTTTTTCCTTTTGGCTGAAGACCTTCTCTCTTTAAGGAGATTAACATTTACTCCTTTACAGATTGCTTAGCAAACATTTTTATTTGAACAGTGAGGCTATCAAGATATAAATGTAAATTTCAGTTAAAAACTTGGTGCTAATGAGGTCAAGACTACACACTAAATCTCTGTGTCTGCCAATTAGCTCCCTTCTTTGCATGGCTACAAGTGTGTGGATGACAGGTCTGGTCATAAGCAGCTTTGGAGGACAGGATGTGGATGAATCAGTCCATGTGCTTCCACATATTAGAAGAGGGCTCTGTTTCTGTCTGCTATGCACTGTGGTCAGTAGCTTTATTTCTGTTTGTGAGAATTAGTGATTCTTAGAAATTTAAAGATAATCGTAGAACCATCATTGTTATATTAATAATGTATCTATTATTCCAAGTCTCTGTTCTCTGCTAATGTTAATGTTAAGCTAGAAGTTAATTTTCTGTTTTCAGTGGCATTTTTTTGCATGTATATTTTTACCCTACTCATTAAGGCTAATAATAGTATGGGAATTGTTAACATTGCCTCTGAACTCTTTAAAGAAAAATAATGATCCGCCTTGTGAGCTTTTGAGTGAGTTTTGCAAAGTTCTCATTCCAACTCACAGCGTGCTTTTTTCCTTGATTAAAATGTATTTTTCAATTAAATTAAAATGCAAATATAGACAGACTATGTTTATGGCTATAAAAGAATTATTTAAAGAAGGTTTTAAATCAACCTACTATAGATATTTCATGCACAACTTCATTTTATCATTGGGCTGGTGCTGCCATGTTCCATTTCCAAGATTACTTAAAGTGCTATGAAAACTTAATCATCCTGTCCAGAGTGTATCACTTGGTATCCACCTTCTGGATGGAGGAAGCAAAGGTGTGCATCTTTCCTATGTTCTTTGTAAGTTATATCACTGATGTTGGAGCACTAGGAAGTACTAAAACTTCCAAACCCCAAGAACTGAGTTATAAAAAAAATTGACCATTTATTTTAAAGGAATATTTTATTATTCATAATTGAAGCAAGATTTCAATTAAAGTATCATATTTTATAATTTATTATAAAAATTAAAGATCTAGAGGTATACCTCAACAGACTACTCTTAGTCTAACCTTTAGTTTGTATTAGAAATGTAAAATATTTGTATTGGAAAGTATTGCTGTGCATGTAATAATGATATTTTCAAGTCATTTTCCCCCCTGATATCCTATCACTCCTCAAACATTTGGTGAAAATAATTTTAAAATTATATTTTATAATTTGTTCTTTATCTCTTTTTTGTCATTATTTTTAGTGATCTGAGTGAAAACCAAATTCAGGCAATTCCGAGGAAGGCTTTCCGTGGGGCAGTTGATATTAAAAATTTGTAAGTATACATATTTAAATTTTTTCAGTAACATCTGTTTTTGAAGCTAAATCTATATTACATAAATTTCTAAATTCTAGCTCAGGAAACGTTGAATTCTTGCTATTTGAAAAGATTCTCATTTGGAAGATGTCTGGAAACTGAAGTCATTATCAAATTCATTGAAAACTAATGAAACGATTTGATAATAATATATTTACAACATATTTTCTTCCATTTTTCTGCCAGCCACCTACATCCAGTTCTTTTGCAGTTGGTATTTATTGGAAGTGCAGAATCTGAACTGTTTTATTCAGGGTGGAGTAGATAATATTTTCTTGTAAGAGATACATATAACCTACAGGTTTTCTAGAGTTTTTCGATTAAATGTCAAAAGTTTGAAAATGAGAAAATTATGTCTTCCTGTTTTTTTCATGAAAGAATGTGTATATGTTCTTTTAAAATAAAAAAGAAGAGTATACATCTGTATTTTTATTTGATAAATCTTTAATCTGGTTTCTTGTGTTGAAATGTTTTCTAAGTGCTTATTGCTCTTAAGGTATATATCAGATTTAAGATCTCAATGACAATTCTAATATTGTCAATATATATCTTTATAAATTTTAAATTGCCATATTAGTCTTTAGAAATGATGGTTTTCAGTTGTCTGTGAAAGCTAGGACATAAAATATCTTCTTAGCTTTTATGCTGGTTTGAACTATAGTGGGGGGAACCCCTGTGTGCTGAGATTAACTATCAGCAATCCAATATTTCTTAGCAAGTAATAATCAGGGCAGGCACTTTTTCAAGAATGAACTTATATTCAGAATCCTCCTTGGTGTGATCCAGTACTATTTTTCCAGTAGCAAAAGTGAGACAGATGTTTTTTCCTGTCAAGGAAGATGACTGTTTACGAAGCTACTGATTTCTGCCTTTACATCTTCTCCTCGATATAAATGGGTTTTGTATTAAACTTGTACTTTCTAAATGTACAGGTAAAGACAGAAAACTACAGGCTTGTAGGTATAAAGGAATATAGCCATTAAAATCATGACCCCAGGATTTTATGAGCACTCAAGTTAAGGGGATTTCACTTGCCCTCTTTTTATCTTCACCAGTCAGGGCTTGGAGGACTCAAGGTAGATTCAGTGAGGAAGGATGCTCAAATCTATCTCTGTCTGGTTAGAACAATGTAAGGACTGGGTAGCACCTACTCATGCTTTCATTGTGTTATTGTCAAATATAGCAGTGGCTAGAGTTGCTGTCCCTTAGGAATGTATTTTGCAATCTTACAGGAATATTATGTCTAAGTTCTTAAAACAGTGGCTTTTAATATTCTTTGTCAAAATGTTCGGATAATGCAAATATACAGAAGCCTTTCTCTCATATATACATCTACATTTAGAAGTAGGGACAAGTCATGGGGGACTTTTCATGTGTCCTCTTCATTTAACCTTAAAAACAAGATAAGAGATTAAGAGGGGAAAAAATGAGATGGTAGCCAATTGGTATGAGGAAAGAATATTTTAAGTCATTTTCCTTTTGCATGCATGAGTTTTCCCAAAATTTAAAGACTTTATTATACATGCCTTCAGATGAATTCAGAATTAGAGTCTCTGGAATATTTTTGTTGTTGTTGTTTGTATTTGTGGACATGAGTGAATCCATCAACTTCACTGAGCTTTTGTTCTCATTTTTATAAAACGAATATGATAGTTTCTTGGTTTCATTTGTTGTTATTAGATAAATAAGATATGTGAAAGATATCTCAAAATAGTAACGTACTATGGGAAGACAGTATTTCATTCTACAGATATTCAACTGATCAACTGCTAGAAGATATCCATAAAAAATGTACAGTAAGGAGATAGGAAAATAGAACATAAGATGAATTGCAGTGTTAGAAATGGGTATGATTATTCTATTATGAATCAATCAGACAGAGTTAAAAAATGGAAAAACAAAAGTATGCTAGAAGGTACTGAATTAATATACACAGTATTCTGATGTATAAACAAGATAATAAGTACTATAGGGGTTGAGAGAAAAAAAGAAAAAAAGCATCGCTTGAAGTCATCAGTGAATGTTTGGAGAAAGAGTTCATGAAAGAAATATAAATCAATATAAGGAAAATGGCTTATATTATGTTTTGGTGAAGAATAGTAGGTAAAGGTGTGTTGAGAAAGTTAGAATTTTTGAAGAAGGCTGGTCAAGGTCTGATTTCAAATATTGATTAGATTGGAAGATAAAAACCAAAGTGCAGTGGTGTGTGTGTGTGTGTGTGTGTGTGAGAGAGAGATGAAAAATTAAATGTGACAATTCTTTTTTTTATTTTCTTTTTTTAAGCAAAGCAGCAGTGGGGAGAACACAGGGATCTGAATATGGGGACAATTACTAGAGCAGAGCTCAAGTAATTTCTAATCTGAGGATACATGTTGCTATGGACAAAAAGCAGCCTAAAAAACTGCTTTGATAACGAATGATTATAGGCAAAAGAATCAATCCCTCCCCTTCTTTTTTCACTGATTTCCATGTGACAATATAAAAGACAACATAGGTGACATCAAAGTTTCACAATGCATTAATAGGCTTATTTATTTAGGATGGTAGCTGAAATATTATAGGCCCCTTTTTCTATTCCTAAAATATAGTCTAAACTACTTTATCAAAAAAAAGTCTTAATCTCATGGGATGAGCTTTGAAGTTTAGTTTTATTATTCAAACTTAAGAACACTATCTGTCAATATATATAAAAGCTGAGTAAATTTAATTTCACATTATTATTATCAAATACAGTAATAACCACAAGTCATAAAGTAACGGTTCACCAAAATACCACTAATATTAATATGATCAGCGTCCAATATGAGATGGTAGAGGAGCCCTTTGTCCTCTCTATCATACCAGTGCTTGCATTTCCAAGTTGACAACCCTGCATAGTGCTGTCGTGGTTCCTGTAGGTAGTAATTTAGACAATAAAAGAAGAAAGAATGGTTGGAAGGAATATGTACTGTAGCTGCATGAAGATCTTTTTCGGTACAGGACTATCAAAAAGCCCCATCTGATGCACTCTAGCAGGTTTATTGAATTTGTCACATTCAGGACTTATTCAGAGCAAATTCCAGTTACCGCAAGATTTCTACGGGAAGCACTTGCTTTAATCTTGTAGATTGGCTAATATGCTCAAGGCAGCATCCTGACAACATGAAATGGATGCTGTGCTAATGTTGCAAATTAGCAGATTTTACTCCCCTTCCTTCAGGCAAGCCATGCTAAAACTATTCTAGGCAGATGGACATTTATCTTTGCCCTTAAGCATCTCCACAGAGGACTTCCCATAACTTTTTGCTTATCTCTATTAATTTCTTAACGGGATTAAAGCCCTTTTGTATTTTATTTTGTTACTTTATTTTTCTCTAGCCACAATTTAAACCACTTATTTTCCCCTCAAGTGAGATGGGAGAACAAGACCATATTAAAATATCAAGTGAATAATAAATTTTTAAGATAGTCATTGGCAGTGTTTTTCCATCTGTGTTGTTAGTCACAAATTATTAACTAAAGTGCTGATGCCATCATTACCAACTGATACCTCCCCAAAATTGTAATCAGTGTTTATAGAAATTTTCTTCAGAAAATTCATATATGTATTTAAAAGATTTAAAATGGATGTAGTGATGAAGCCTTTGCTGCCTCCTAATTGAATCATGAAGGAAGATGTTACATTGTGCACTGATTTGTTTCCAAGTATCTGTTAGGTATTCCCACTTAATTTAATCCTCTTGAAGAATATTCATATTCCATCTTGCTCTGTTACTGAGACTTGCCAGTTTATTCTGAAGTATGTACTTGAAGTATCAAAATATGTCAAAAGTCTCATTTTTAAAGAAAAAAAAACAGTTATAGTTACCCAGGATTTAACAACAACAAAAAACACATATAAATAAACTTTTTATTTAATTAACTATATTGTTAGTTTTTACTCACAAAGTTTATGACAAAGACAAAACCTAACTTAATTTACTTTTTTAGTGAGTACAATATACTTTAGTTTTTTAGTGAGTACAATATGAATACTTAAAATAATTAAGTTCCAACAAGAATTATTTTATGCACCGTGTAAAGTAGACCAAGCCTGCATATTCCTCCTTTCGTTTGTGCTACATCTTCAAAGTGTACTCAATGGCCCAATCAAATTCTATCATTTTCTGATAGTGAATAAATATATACCTTTCCCATTTGTTTGCATTATCCCAATTTCTTTAACCCTAAAACTGTTATGAATCTTATCTTTCTTTTTTCAGGATAAATAATGTTTTTAAGAAAAATAAGTTGGGGGAAAATATACATTATTCTTTCTTCATGTGCATTAATGTGTAGACAAAGATTTAAGTCACAAGATGATTCAGCATGGTTCTCTTGGGGTAAGTTCATGATAACATTTGGAAGAAATGATGTATGGCCTTAACATTTTAGGAAAGAAATCGCCCAATTTGTGATGCACTGTTATTAGCCATAACAAGTTTCAACAAACAGGAGAAAGTGGATCTCTGTAATGTGTTTTTATGGAGCTCTATCAATTATTTAAAAATCTATTTTGTTTCCTAATGGAACTCTGTCATCATCATCTCCTCCTCATCATCCTCATCCTTCTAATCATTATTATTATTTTTGTTGTTTCTTTTTCATTACTTTGTTAAAACCTATAGAAGAACTCACAACTCTATCTCAGGTACAAAGATACATATATTTCATTATATATTTATGCTTTTCTAGTTTGGAAATATTTCTCTTCTAGTTTCTCTTCACTAACCTTTGAGTAATTCACGATGATAAGGGAGTAAGAGGTATTCAATTAATATAGAATCAATATGTAACAGAAGAGTATATGCAAATTTTCCCATGCAAATGAAAGACTTTATGTACCTCTGTCATGAAGTTAAGTCATAATTGCAAAATTTCTGCTTTAGTTAGTTTTCATGTTTACTTCATTACTTTTCTTCCTTATGAAACTAATATTC